GATTATGAGATAAAATTTAAATATATTATTATCGTGGATTTTTGAAACTTTAAGCTATAAAACAGTCACTAAAAATTCTCTCATTAAACAATTATCCCTTTTCCAATTTAAAGTCAAAGAAAATGGCCTAAATTCTCACATGGAATAATTGATCCATATGATGGAAGGATTGATTCCCTTGAATCGTGTATTGGATCACCCTTCGCAATAGGTCATTGTATTTGGGAGAGTTTCTTGAACTTGAGTTTGTTGACTATTGATTGATGTCATCAGTTCAAGGCAACTAGTGCACCAGAACCATGTAGTACTTATTCTAGCAACACTTCTTCAAAGTAGTAGAGATCAACTTTAAAATGACCTCTATGAACTTGAATGTATTTGATGTGAAACAAGTCCAAGTCAAGGTAGGGCCAACAGTCATATGTATATTCACAAATTTTAATCTTACACTAGATTGGGTTACTTTTGTTTTTGATGAACGTTTTTTATCTTAAAAGGAAAAGGGTATACACCATTAGTTCTAGCCAAATCATTCTTAAAATGACATTATATATGTGTAAATCCCAAAATAAAATCTCTTCATGTATTTGATCTCAAAAAGAAAACCTTTAACCATTCATGAGCCCTTTCTTTTTATATTTAAATTATTATAAATTATTTTTCAAGTCATTATCTTTAATTACTTACATTTCTCTCTTGATAGTAGTGGAGCAAGGTAGTAGTGTAGAAGTAAGACCACATGAACTCTTCTTCAACACTCAAGTCTTCAACCGTTTGTGCCACCCAAACCTTTCCAAGAGAGATGTTAAGTAAACAAACTTTCATCTAAGCAGCCAGAGACTTGAAGCCCAGAAGTCCACTGGCCTAATGAGAAGCTGCATCAGATTGATCCTTTGGAAGATTGGTCGAGCATTCGGTCATTTTGGTTTCTCTTGGAGGATGTATTGGGAAAGCCAGGGCAAGAGGGACTAGGCTGGTATGTGAGACGTTGGGCTTTGACATATCCATATCTGGGATCTCTGGCACTTTGTCAAGACAGTCTGCGAGTGAGTTGAGCTGTACCAGTGCCTTGGATGATCCCATGCAAGCTCTCACGACCTCTACCTTTACATCTTCTATGCCTGTGAAGTAGAGCATCGCAATTGGATTGCTCACAACGAGAACCTGGCCCATCTTCATGTCTTATTTCAGGAAGAAACCACCACGTCCACGCTTGCTAGCTTTGATCTCCACAGGACCGACAAAGTCAGCATGGCGCCAACTGTGGCTTCAAGCCACCGGAGAAGAACTGGTGATGTCGTATGGCCCCCCTGTCTCGCTCTGCTCCTGGAAGAACCGGCACTCAGCCAGAGCAGCATCGATCCCTTGCATTGCTAAGAGCAACAGGGTCCTCCTCTCACCGTGACAAAGCCAGCTCGAAGCACTCCACGGCTTGAGTATACTCTCCAATGGCCTTCAAAGCACTGGCCTTTCGGAAGAGACTCTTGACGTGAAACTTATCCCCGTCCAGGGCTGCATTCGCCCCTTGAATCGGCGTGTCCACCATCCCGATGTAGAGAAGAACCTGGGAAGAGATGTTGGACAAGACACTAGTGTCGCGCTGCTGCTGCTGCTGGATCAAGAGCATGCCAACAATGAAGCTGACATCGTCGGGAAAAGCAACCACGAGCGATGGCTGGATGAAGCGCTCGTTGATGACGATGGCAGTGAGTAAAGGCTTCTTGATCTTTACTAGAGCTCCTCATGGAAACATAGCCGCCACTTCTTCGCTAGCTCTCACGCACGCACAGAACTCCATTCAGATCCTCCTCGTCACACCAACCGCGACGAGCAATGTACCTTCCCAGCAAGAAACTCCTCATTGGCGTCCTGCTTGTGCCCGACGGGCGCCGGCCATTCCTCGCTGGAGAAGAGATCGCTGAGCGCCTTGAAAATCCTAGCGATAACTAAACCATCGGATATGCTATCATCTAACGGTTGTCATTCAATTTTAGATAGCCCTAAAAGTGGATCACTTGACTTAGACCAGTCAAGAGTCAAAGACGCGCCTTCCGGGGAATATCGTTAACAATCGAAGATTCCAGCGAAGCTTGGAACGAGTAAGCGCAAGAGAATTTTTCCTTCTTCGTTACGTGGATCTCACGTCGTTCTTGATGTAGATATAGTCGGAGAGCTCGTGAGAAGGAAACGGGTGAAAATGAGTAGCAGCAGTAGCGATCGCTGGAGGAGGATCACTCACTTCGACCCTCGGATATGGAGTAGCCTCCCACACGATTTGCTCCTCCGGATCTTCGCGTGCCTCCCAATCAAGAGCTTGCTCCGGCTGCGATGCGTCTCCAAGGAGTGGAACAAGGCTCTCACGTCTCTAAACTTTGCAGGGCTGCAGTCTCGAGTAGCATCGCCCTCGTCCAGGCTCCCCTGGATCCTCATGTTCAAGTGTCACAGCTATAGCACTGCCAGAGTGCTGAGAGCTTTCGATCGATCCAGCAACAAGTGGTTCGCCATTTCCCTCTCCTTCCTGCCTCCCTATACCACGGACATAGCCGCCTCGTCTGGAGGACTCCTGTGCTTCAAGACCATCCATCCCGGCCACTTCATTGTTTGTAACCCGCTGCTCAGCTCTTGGAGGGATCTCCCACCGCTCAAGACCTCCAACATGGCCAGAGCAGCCGTCATCACCCTTCTCACCACCAAAAGCTCCACTTCCAACACCTTCAAAGTCGTCGTTGCTGGATCCCGAGTCATGGACGACCTGAGCAGCTGTGAGCGAGTGACGGAGGTGTTTGACTCGGCTGCTGGATCGTGGAGGAGGATCCAAGCTCCAGGAATGGCCTTCAACTTCAGATCCGAGACAGCCTGCTGCGGCGAAGAGACAATCCACTTCACAACTAGCTCCGATCCTCCGCTCCTGTTCTCTCTCAACCTGGAGCAGAGCAAATGGACCAAGTCAGAGGCACCGCTTCCCGAGTCACTGACTTACTGCATCCCGGTAGCGAGTGAGCGAGGAGTGCTTCACTTGGTCGGCGGACACGGGCAGCACGGGATCACCAAGAAGATGAGAATCTGGAAGCTTGGCAACAACCAGAAGCGATGGACGGAGGTGGACACCATGCCTGGTGAGATTTGTGCAAAGTTCGTATCAACCTGTTTCCACAACTACGACCAGATAAGCAGCACCGCGCAGCAGGACTTGATCTGTTTCTCATGTCTCACCTCCCCTCAGGCAGCCGTCTATTGCATTCCTCGCAACTCTTGGATGTGGCTTCCACGCTGCGAGCAAGTGTCGCTGCGATCCAACAGCGCTCACAAATGGTTCTCGCTGGAGCCAAATCTAAAACAGCTCCATCTCTAGGTAGGCAGCACCCGCTCGTCTCGAAGCGTTTATGAGATTCTTCTGGCAGCAGCAACCAGTCAATAGCTGATAGAAAAATATACTTCTATAAACAGTGTTCTCTTGCATCTATTCTATCTCTCAGCAACTCGTCAGTAGCACGGACGAAGTTGTGGATACTAGCGTGATTTTACGCATAAATCTGCGGAGAAAACCATGAATGCTCGCGTCGTTTGTTCTAGACAACTTACATACCGTGATTGTATCTTGTCGTTTCAATTTATATACTTATCTTTCACTTGGCATTTGCTGCAACAAAAGAAAGAAAACCAAAACAAGAAAAGAAGGATGTCGGGTTCTCTTACCTGGAGCTCAAATGCGGCGGCATCGATAGCGCCATGGCAAGCTGGGGCTCAAATCCGGCGGCATCGACAGCGCCATGGCGGACTGCGACAAGGAATGCGGGCGCCGCGTCCACAGCGCCTTGGCGCCGGCGTATCGCCATCGCCAAGAGAGCCCTATCGATAATTGCCCTAGAGATTACCTCAAGCCTTGCAACGCGGAAGAGAAGGTCCATTTAAATACCTTAGCCAAGAAACAATGAAAGAACTCCCAAAGAAGAAGGGACAAAGATGGGAAAATGGACGACTGGTCTGTGTGGATGCTTTGAAGATTTTAATTCATGTGAGTAGCAACAGAGATTTTTTTCTTCCATCGATCGGATCAATCACATTTTTTTTGCTCTTGCGATTCGATCGAATGTAGACTGCTGTGCGTGCCTCTGCCCCTGCGTTGTGGTGGGAAGAAACATCAATGTCTTGGATCAAGGAAACACTTGTAAGTTCTTTCGATTCCTGGATAGAATCGATGACAAGATTGCGTGAATTTACCGATCGATCGATCTCATCGCAGCGTGCTGTACCGGAGGGACAGTGTTTTGCTTGCTCCACAGCATGGCCGGATTGGGATGCCTCTACAGTTGCCTCTATCGCGGTAAACTCCGTAACAAATTCGGCCTCCCGCCAGAACCATGCAACGATATTTGCACTGAATGCTGGTGCCTCTGCTGCTCCATCGCCCAGACATATCGGGAGCTCAAGAATCGAAACATGGATCCAGCGCTTGGTGGGTTCAATCCTTGAATTCTCTTCGATTCATTCCTTGAATTTCTCGTTTCAGGCTATGATGGCGTCACTTCGATCACCAAAAATCCGCCCAAGATATTCAAGATGTGGAAATAGAGCTCTGTTTTAGGGTTCTTGAGTGATTCCCAAAGAATATTCGAAATTCAAATGTTTTGCTTGAAAAGATTTGCAGAATATTCATTCTAGGGTTTTGTGATTTATCTAGGGTTCATGGCTGAGCTCCGGCAGCGGAGGCGCGATCGCTCCTCGGCAGAGATTAACAGCGAAGAAGAGGATGCCAAGAAGAAGGATCTTCCGGAGGTCAGTAAGAATGTCGGATTTGCTGCGGCTTTCGCCGCGCTCTTCATCACTCGCTACTTCAGCGCGAGCTCCAACATCGTACACGACTGCGACGAGGTTTTCAATTACTGGGAGCCGCTGCATTTTCTTCTCTATGGATCGGGATTTCAAACTTGGGAGTACAGGTGAGTGAGAGCTTTAGAGAGTGTCTGTTCTCTCGCTAAAATAATTGGAGTTTCGTTTCTCTGGACTAGCTCGGAGTTTGCTCTTCGATCGTATCTTTACATCCTGATTCATGCCGTTATTGGAGCTCCAGCTTCTTACATTCTCGCAAAGGTAGGAAAGTTTCTCTTTTGATTGAAATGCTCTTAAGTGTTTATCTTCCTTTTCCAGGTGAAAGTTTTCTATCTGATTAAACTGGCATTCGCCTTGGTGTCTGCGGCCGTCGATGGAGCTCTTGTGGCAGCCGTGTCCGAAAGGTTTGGAAAAAGGATGGCATCATACACTTTGGTTTTACTCTGCTTTGCCAGTGGTTGCTACACAGCCAGCACAAGTAAGGAAAAATTCTCAGGCTGTTCTCACTCACTTTTCTTGTTTTTTTTCTCCTTTCTCAGCTTTTCTGCCGAGCACCTTTTCAATGTACGCTATCAGCCTTGCATCAGCGGCTGTGCTTGCCGATAAGTTTGAAGCTGCCGTGGCCGTGGCTGCCTTGGGGGTCCTTGTTGGCTGGCCATTCTCGGGCCTTGCGGTTCTTCCCGTGGTAGTGTACTCTTTGGCGAATGGTAGCTCCGTCAAGGTTTTCATGGCCGGTGTTAAATCCTCAGTCGTTCTCATCGTAAGTTCCTCTTGTCTCTTATAAATTGGTGGATATTCTCCTGGAAACTCAACTTGATTGTCTATACAGGCGCTGTCAGCACTATGTGATCGATTATTTTACGGTCAGTGGAAGCTTTCTATTCTCAACCTCGTCACCTACAATGTCGTGGGAGGTGGCGACAGCATTTTATACGGTGTGGAGGGACCCTTGTTTTATCTTCGGAATGGGCTCAACAATTTCAATCTTGCGTTGTTGTTGGCGTTCGGGCTACCTGTTTTGCTGCTTTTCGTGCGACGAAGTACCGACAAGCATCTCCTACTGGTAATCTCACCTTTGTATTTGTGGTTTGGATTCATGTCCTTGCAACCTCACAAAGAAGAAAGGTATCAAAACTATGCTCTCTATCTTAGTTCACTCAGCTTTTTTTCTTTTCAGGTTCCTCTATCCAACCTATCCCCTCGTTTGCGTAGCTGCGGCAGCTAGCATCGAGCGGATTCCAGGTCTGGTACCACGAAAAATGAGCTTCGTGCATGGTCTGTTCACGAAATTGAGGCCTTTGCTCTTATCTTTCATCCTGGTGGCATCGTATAGTCGAACAACGTCTTTACTTCAAGGTTACTCGGCACCGATGCAGATTTACAAACACCTTCCAACTAATCCAACCGAGAATTCCACAGGCAAGCCTCGCAGTTTCAATTCTCTTAACTCCTGCGTTTCAATGCAGTTTGCATTGGCAGTGAGTGGCACCGTTTCCCATCCTCGTTCTTTCTGCCGTCAGCCAAGTACCAAGTGAGATGGCTCGACGATGGCTTTAGAGGACTTATGCCGTTTCCATTCGATAGCAGCCTGGGTGGAACGAAAGCAGCTCCGGACTACTTCAACAGGCATAACAACGCTTCTCCAAAGCAATTTGTAAGTTAGATCTCATCTCGTTACTTATTTTCTTTCGAAGGTTCTCACTCTTCCGAAATCCCTGTCTCAGCTCCAAAGCGACGCTTCCTGTGACTTTGTGGTGGAGCTAGTCTTAGACAGACCGGGCGTAGAGTATCGTGGAAACAATCAAACCAAATGGACTGTACGTGCTTGTTTACGCTTGCCAGATTCTCTAAGAGTATTTTTCTAACAGGTCGTGGCTAAACGCTTGTTCCTGGACAATGAGAGCTCACCTCGTCTCCACCGCGCGTTTTTTATTCCCTGGGCATGGCAAAGTAAGAACTCCTTCGGCACTTACAGGCTACTCATACGCAATGTGGTCGAGTAAACAAACAAACCATAGGCGAATTAACGTGATTTTTCACTTTCTATGATCTTATATTACCATCGCCAAAGTTCTTTCTAAGAATATTTTTTATTTGCAGAGATGCTTTGTTCTAGATTCGAGATGGAAGCTTTGTTTCTCTCCCATAGTATTTAAATCTAGAGGCTTGAGTGGCAGCCAAAGATCGTCTCTACAGAAACAAATTTTGGATATGAGTTTAATGAAACCTCGCGGCAAATCCCAGCCGTTGGATCACTAGGTTGTTCTTCACCATTGTTTTTCCCTCCATGGAGCTCGCTGCAAGATTTGAGGTCGATCGCGTTGCTGGCCCAGCTTTCCTTCCCTCTCGGAGCCGATCCAAGCTCTAAAGTCTCGTCCTTGGCGGCGATTGCAAGCGCCGAAGGTATCTGAGGTGAATCGGTGGATCTTCTCCTGTTGTTCGAGGTTTCTGGTTTTCTCTCGCTCTCCGAGTCGATCGGAGCTGGAAATTCGCGTTCCTGCGAGCGATGAAGGCCATGGAGGAGAAGATCGACGATCTTGTCACGGCATTGGGGGAAGTCTCCCATTGCAATGCTGCTCCAGATTCAGGCAAGAAGAAATATCCCCTTGTGCCGCCTAGCGATGGCAAATCGCCGCTCACTGCATCGCCACGGCACTACGAGCGCGGCATTCCTGGTGTCGTCCAGGCAAGTCCAAGGGTCGACCATTCGTCGGACAGGATCTTGTTCCATGCCGTGGCCATACGCTATGAGCTTGTGATGGAAGGCAAGGATCCATTGCAACGGCACGCCACGGAGTTTGGAATCCTTCTACCCACCAGAGTCGATCCAGCCGTGGCAGCGATGGTAGTGGAATTGTTCCTCCAAGAAAACTCCATAGTCCGTGCCCATCTAGAGGAGATTGGAGAAGTGCTGGTTTCCTCGGACGAGGTATACTATACAGTATACTCTCTCTTTGTGTGAAGTTTCTTACTTGGATCTCTTTTCATTCCAGGTGGTGAAGATCAAAGAATTTACCAAATGGCTTTTCGATCTCGTCCTGGGCCGCTCCCAAGACGCGAGGCTATCGGAGTACCGAGAGGGTCCAAAGCTTTACTATGCCGTTCCACTGCTAGAGACTTGGCGATGGAGGAGAGAGGAGTTTAAGCTGGTCGTGGATTGGAACTTGATGGCTGCTGCAACTTCTTCCGGTTTGCATTACGCTGACTCGATGATCGCTTCCGAAGCACAGGCCTCGAACGAGAAGATCGCGATTGACAGCTTGATCCTTTGCTCTGGAAAATCGTGCGTCGTTCTATCGAAACACTCGAACGAAGTTGTTGCTGTGAGGGCGCACCGGGCACTGAGCTATCTCACGAAACACAATGGTATGAAACTCTAATTATCTATCACCATTTGATCTGAGTTTCTTCTTTCCAGGTGCTACACTAACGAAAAAGCTAAGAGCCGTCACCTTTTCAAGAAGGGAGTGCGTACTTTCGAAAACTTTACTACCGGGAAGCTTGCATAGAGGCGCTCTTCGGCTTCCTTCTGTTATGTACAGGCTTGAGATGGCACTGCTAGCCGCAGAACTGCGTGATGCAATGGACGTCCCGGTCTCAGCTTTGAAGGTACAATTCGTAGCAAGTTTGTTATCTGGAGGACTGAAACGTGGTTTTAGCTGTTGGAGGCTTTGACATCCAGAGCATGCTGTTTCAATGTATCTTACGAGCCACTAGAACTGTTAGGAGACAGCGTGCTGAAGATCGTCGCTGGAACGTATGTCTACGCGACGATGCCTTCGATGGGCAGTGAAGAGCTTGGCCTGGAGCTGTACAATATAGTTTGCAACAGCACGCTTTCCAGTTTGGCACTAGCTCGGAATCTGTACCGGTATGTATTTGCGGAGATGTTTTCGCCGCTGAAGTGGATATCTCCGGGCATGATACCAGCAGCGGCAAAGATTCCGGAACAACTGCTCTCGACGAAGACGCTGGCGGACGTAGTAGAAGCCGTTCTGGGGGCATGCGTGCTGGAAGGGGAACTTGCTGCCGCTATGGCAGCAGCGAACTGGCTCCAGATACCAGTCCGGTTTCCTCCTGAGGCCGAAGATCATCACAGATTCGAAGTCACAGGCTGCGGATCATTAACAGATGATGATTTGAAGGAACTACAAGAGAAACTCGGCTATCAGTTCAGGAACAAGCAGGTCTTGCGAGTTGCTCTGAGCTTTCATGACGACAACTTCACTTTCAGGCGTCTAGAGTTTCTCGGCGATGCAGTGCTGGACTACCTCGTGACACGGCACTTGGTCAGATCATTCCCGGACCAGTCGGCCGGTCGCCACAACACCATAAAGCAGGCAACGATCAACAAGGAGCACTACTCCTGCATTAGTATTCGTCACGGCTTCCACGTTTATCTTCAGAAGGTCCACTTCGTCCCTCAAATTGCCGAGTTCGCAGAATCACTTGTCGAAGAGCATGCAAGGGGGAAAGCATGCTCGACTTTCGGCATTTCCAGACTAAACTCACCAAAAGTAAGCCAAGTTCTCCAATTATCCTGTCTGCTTATTCTCTGTTTCAGCTGCTTGGAGACGTGATTCAAACACTGGCAGCTTCAATTTTTATCGACTCCGAGTACGAACCAGATATTGTTTGGAAGGTAAGTCGTATTGATTGGAGTATACTTTCTTATAACCTCTCTCATCTTCAGGTGTATGAAAGGCTCTTAGAACCAATCGCCACTCCGGAAAACGTGATGCTCCATCCAGTCAAGCAGCTCGAGACCTTGTGTAGAGAGCAAAGACTTGCTCTCGAGATCCAGTGCACTGAGGTGGACGGTTTCATACGCGCCGATGTTGTGATCGACAATGAGCGCGTCAGCTGCTGCGAGCACGAAGAGAAGCGCGTGGCAAGACGCTTAGCTGCGATGCAAGTACGTATATATATATTATCAACTCAGTTTTTCGTCCTCTAACGCAAAGTCTGGTTATAATAGGCTGTGCAAAAATTGACAACTTCTAATCGAGCAGCGTCTCTCACCCGATCCACTACCTCCTAAACCTCCTCAAAATCTGTGCTTACTTGTCACGCATCTTGTCCCCCACCTTGCTGGCTCTTCCCTTGGTTCTTTCCTTGTTCTCTCCGTCGTCGTCTTCCCTGTCCCGGTTCCCACCCATCAATTCGTCCACGCAGAAACAGTAAAGTTCTTGGTGCAATTGCTGCCACTGCTGGCCATTGTTTAGAGCCCGCCGGAGCTCCGATCGCAATCTCTCCAGCTCCATTTGCATCGCTGCCGTGGAGCCTTGTTGCTGTCATCAAAACCCGTCAATGGTCTCTCATCCAGGCAAAAAACCCTTTCTTACCTCTAGTTCTCTTATTTGTCTTCCCATGGCGACCATACTGTGAGAGTAACCCTCGGCATCCTCGTCATCAGCAGGATAAGTTAACGGAAGGACAACCGGGGGGCCTTCCCAAGGCTTGAAGTCTTGTGCCACTGACTCGACTGTTACGTACTTGCTCAACGGAACCACTGGAAGCGTTGGTAAGCGACGGTTGATTTGACGGCCTTGCTGATCTGTAGAGCTGAGCAGGGACGAGGGCCGTGGTATCACCAAAAGGCTGCTCACAGGACCTGCAAGAAACCAGCAAAGCAAAGCAACTTTTGCGTTGGGAGAGACAAAAAGAAACTTTGGTCGGTCACCTTTGCTGTGAGAAAACGTCCGAAGAACCTGGCGGCTCACGGTGTCCCACAACCGGACAGTGCAGTCCTCGGAGCCAGAGACGAGCGACACCCCATCCATGCTAAATGCTAGAGCAGTAATAGCACGGCTGCTCTATCAAGAACAACTCCAGATTAGTCAAAAGCAGTCGGACGGGTGGATTGGAACAACAAAACTTTAGAAAGCACACAACCTGTGGCCGATCCCGTCAGCACCGAGTAGCCCATCCGCGGAATGCAAGCCAGACCCCGATGGAACACCGAAGTTTAGAGCCGTGATAAAAATCCTGCCATCGACTCCACCGGCGTAGAGCGCGTACTCCCCTGGATCAAGTGCAACAGCATTGATGGGAGTGGGGAAGAGTATCGACCGGAGTAGAGCTCCGAGAGCCAAGCTCCATATCTATACAAACTCTCGCGGTAAGCTGGAAAAACTAACACGCTGCTGCGAAGAGCTAAAGAAACGTACCTTGCAGGTGTGGTCTAGTGAGCACGAGACGATGATCGCGCTAGAACCACCAGAGCCGGCCAGCAATCCAGTGACTGGAAGTGTGTGATCCGACCATTTGTGCATGTAAGGTACCTGGGTCTCCCCGGCTTCTTCGATGCTGTCCAGGGCCCTGGAAGGAAGCCGGAAAGCATGAGAAGAAAGCTTCAAGGAGAAAAGCTCGATCGATCGGAGCAAACTTACCTCACGAGAGGATAGACATTGACAAGTCCATCCTCGGCACCAGAGATGAGTAGCGAATCATCGTCGGAGAAGACGAGACACTTGACGGCTTTGTAGTGCCCGGCCCACACTCGCAGCAATCTTCCACTCGAGACCTTTGCCAGAATCCCGTGTCATGGGGTGAATCACGAAGTTAAGAGAAGTCTCACCTCCCAGAGATAAATTCTTCCCGACGATCCTCCTCCCGCCAAGTAAACTCCATCGGCAGTGCAAGCTAGGGGCTCGATCGGCTCCACGGGATAGCTCTTGAAAGCCACTTGGTTCTACGCAGAGGAAAAGAAAATGAATGAAACGGCCGATCAAATTCGAGATTTTGGCAAGAAGAAATCGATCGATTCCTGCTCTCACTCACCTTGTGCCAGGTCCAGAAGAAGATCGCGCCGCCGGCATTGTTAGCAGTCTTGTGGATCTGCGATGCCGCCAGGAAATGATGTCCAACACACGCCAAGGCATTGCGCGGCGCCGCGCACGATCGGAGGTGCGACAGCGGCACGCCCGACGCCAAATCCCACACCGTCACGCCAGCATCCAGATTGGAGCAGGCGATCACAGCTTCTCTCACCGTCGCCAGCTTGCCCCATCCAAGGACGGCCCTCTCCAGGCCGTAATTCTCTCCTCCCTATAAACCCTAACCCTAGAGACGCATTAAAACTTCCCAGTAGAGGAGAGTGGATATTCTTTCTCGCGACTAGGGTTTAACCAGGTATGTGATCGATTGACGCTTCTTCTCTGGCTATCCGGCGAGATTTCGTGCCGATTAGCTCGTTCCATTGAAGCGATAGCAGCTCCGCCTCGATCGGGCGTGTGATTTCCAGCCAATGCGGCAGAGATTTGCTTGCTTTGGCATTGCCCGATCGATGTACATGGTTTTTCTCTAGCAAAATTGATCTAAATCTCGAAATATTTGTGTTGTGGTAGACAGGTATCGTAATGGCTCTCCTATCTTCTTCCAGCTGCTTCATGAACAAGGTATTTAGATTTGTCTGGTGGTTTTCTCCTATCTCATGCTAAGATTTTGCTACGTTCCAGGCAGTTTTCCCAGTATTCCAGCACGATCTTTGTCGTACTCCAAAATTCGCTCTCCAAAGCAGAAGGCCAGCCACCAAAGTAGCGGCATTTTTCGATCCCAGAGAGGACCCAATTGTGAAGGAAGCTCTCAAGGTACGACGCTTTGGTTATATAAAACTGTCTGAGAAAGAAAGCCTGCTTGTTTTATCTAACAGGAACCGATCGCTTTCCTCGGTGGCGTCTTTGCGGGAATGCTCCGCCTCGACTTAAACGAGGAGCCTCTCAAAGGCTGGATCGAAAAGACTGCCGCGGCAGCGAAGCTCCAGGCTGACGAGAAGCTGGAGACGATCACGGACAAGGACGATGGCGGTCCCGAAGAGATCCAAATCGAATGAAGGAGCGCCAGATCTCCGTAAGTTTCTCAGTAAAGCAACCAAGCTTTGCTGACGGTCCTTCCTCTCTCTTGTATCTTTACAGTGATATACCTGGTGAGAGAAACAAAAGGCGTCAAGCTTTGCGGTATGGCCTGTAAATGCGACTCAAGGCAGTTGTTGCGTAGGCAGAAAATTGCGGTTGCCAAAGGTGCTCGTCTCGAGGGACAGGGCATTTGCAGGCGACCACACCCAACACAGGGAAATAAATTTCTAGCTCTCTCTCTCTGCGCATCGGTATAGTACCTCTCTCGCTTGGCATTTGTTTTTGGATCTCTAGTTCATGAATTTGGGTACGTATAGGAAAGGGTACTGCACACTCGCAGACAGGAGCGCTTGAAGATTTTCACGTGCTGGAGCTGCTGCGCTCACATGAAAACGATTCCATGGTTTGGGAGCTCGATTTGATTTCGGCAGGGGAGAAGTGAGAGCGGGGAAAAGGATTTCTTCTGCGATTGTCATCTGTGACGATGGCCTTTACGGGACCACTCCGACTCCAATCCACTTATGATATTCAAGTAAGCATCGCTGCTCCTTTTCTCCGCATTGACTAATCTTTTTGCTTGACTTATCAGCCGCAAAGAAGAAAACAAGCGAGCGCATCCAAACAAGAGGCATTTTGAGGAGACCCATGGACAGTTTCGCTGCAGCTGGTCCGTGATGTCACTGCAGCGCTGGATCGAGAACAGGTACAAACAGAAAAGCAGGAGAAAGAATTCCTCCGTTGTTTTTATGCACGGCATGCTTACAGGTGGTGATCGCTCGTGATCTTGCTAAGAGGACGACAGGCGTAGCAGCGGCACAGCAGGGAAGCGACCGATGAATGGATCGATCAATCAATCACAAGGGTATTTACACTCTCGCTCCGCTGGTTTTTCTGGATCGATCATCACTTTGGCTCGTCCACACCACTCACTTTGTTATTAAGCTGACTTCGACCGCCACTCGCTCACTCTCTCGTCTTTGCAAATCTCTCAGCAAGGAAGACGAAGATGGTAGTAGCATTTTTCCCGCTGAAAGCAACAGCGACCAATCAACGCCAGTGGCGAGTGACGATTCGGGATCAACAGACAAAAAGAAATTCGCGGAGATCCATTCAAACAGTCGCCACAACAGCGCAGCGCTGCCAGGCGGAAGAATAGCGAATTTTTAAGAGATTTACACATCGCCCAGCCAAGGTATAAAGGAGGGGCAATTAAAACTCGCGGCCCAACGGCCCAGATTTCTCCCGGGAGCGAATATCTGGCATTGAATGGATGCTGGCGGCAGCGAATATCCACGCGCGGTTAATTAAATGGGCGCAGCTTAGGATTAATTGCGTGTAAAACGGCTGGCTTAGGGTTTAGACGCTAGTGAAGATGGATGGCTCCATTTTTTTCTCTGGAGGATTTCACTCGCCTTGACCGCCACGATCTAGCCTAGCGGCGTGTTCTTGCGCGAATTGGCCGGGATTTCCAGGAGCAATCGATCGATTCTTCTTCTTCTTCTCTCCCTCTCGCGCTCGCTGCTACTAGATCGATTTGGCGATGGATCCAGGGGTGTGCTTGGTTCATCCCAGCAAGAGGCAACCGGTGGGGGTTTGTCACTTGTGCCTCCGGGATCGCCTCGTCCGGCTCTCTCTCTCGGGCGATTCTTCCAGCAGCCACACGCTCCTCCCGAATTCCTCCTCCTCCAGGAGCTCCTTCGATTCCTCCTCGTGCTCCAAGACCGACGACAGCAACGGCAATGGCAAATGCGGCAGCGGCAGCGTCGTCGGTAAGCTCGGCACGATCTTCTCGCTCATGGAGAGCGATAGCGAGGAGGCAGTGGCTCGAATAGAAGAGAAAGAGGGGGATGGAGACGAGGACGACGACGAAGAGGTAGAGCAGAGCGTTCCATCGTGTCTTCCCAGGTCCAAATCTCTCTCGCAGTGGCAGCAGCAGCACCCGCCGCGGCGGAGCTCCAGCACCAAGGATCCAGCGTTTGCGCGATTCGCCGCTCCCGATTCAAGAAATGGGGGGGAAGGAGGGTTTCCAGCGGATGGATTCTCCTCCGCTCGGAACTGCAAGAATGCCGCTGGATCCTATCACAGTCCCCTGGTATCGGCATCCGCCACGCCCGTGGCTCATCACGTTGACAGGGATCATCGCGGCGCCAGGAATCCCCATCACCACAGCGGCGGCGGCGGCAAGCTCTCCTGGATCTCCTCCCTCTTTGGGCTGCGCAAGAGGAAGAAGAAGTCCAGCCACAACGGCGCCGTGGAGACGAATTTCTTCCCTCCCGAGGCCTGGAACGACGATTTCCACCACCGCGGCGCGCACGCCGATCGCGATCGCCTGTGGCGCAGCCGATCGGTCTCCTCGGGGCGCGTGATCAAGAAGAGCTTCACTCCTCTCGGGGATCCTCCAGCCGATCATTCCAGCGCGCCCACTGGAATCGACCCTGCGACCTCCTCCTTGGAGCCCCCGAGGGCGTCGGCGCCGGGAATCGAACCCCGGGTGGCCTCGCTCATCGCGCTGGACATGAGGGAGGCGACCAAGGTGATTACCAACGCGGCATATGACGTGGAGGACAGCGGGGACGGGGGTGCCGCGTACGTGGCGGGGCCGAGGTCCAGCGTGGCGTCCTTGATGGACATCGACCGCAAGTGCACGGCCGCCACGTGTGCCAGCCCGACCGTGCTGCAGAGGAGCCGGAGCACGGGCGGGTGGCGCCGGATGATACGGAGTGAATCCCCGTCGTCCGTGCTGGCGAATCCGACGGCCCATGGTAGTGGTAACGGTCACAGTGATTGGGGATTCTATCTAACTCCGCTGAGGACTTTTAACAAGAGCAGGGGTGGTAGCAAGCAGGGGCGCTGAGATTAACGCAAAAACTATGCGAGATCGGATCAAACAGTGGCTTGGATCGATCGTGTCGAGGCTTACTTTGCATTTAGGATTGATGGCTCTAATGTAATTCTTCTTTTTTTCGTTTTGTGAAGCTACACACTGGAAGAGATTTGAGAAAAGTTTGAGAGTGACGATGGAAGAACAAAAACAAAGCTGTACAGATTGAGGCCCACTAGGGAACAAGGAGATTTTTTGGGAGTAGAAGACAAGACTACCCACCGGTGTGTTATATAAAATTTTCTCTCAATTCTGTAATTTCTCTCTTTCCTCTCTCTGGGATTCACTCAAGTGAAGATGGATTCAAAAGAGACGATGGAGTGATTTGCTCTTTTGGGGTGTCTTAAAATCTCTCAAAGTTGGCGATGTTGGCACACCAACCAGTGTAATATAATGTGTCAAAAACCTTTGGGGTGGATGAACATGTGCAAGTGAGAGATTTGCGATTGCACGGATTTTTTTTCTTTTGTTTTACTTTTCTTTGGTTTCGAGGATTAGACTAGATTACTAAGCCTGGAATGTTTGCTTCGCTGTTTAAATCGCTGACAAGGACCAACTGCTGTCTGTCATGGTTTGTATGCTTACTTTGCAGTCTTTAATCCCAAGATAAAGACCATCACCACCGCCTTGAATACAAAATAGAATCCTTTGTGTGGGATACAGTTAGTTCACGCAAACACTGAAGTGTTGGTAATGGATTCATGTGGAGGATTCAAGTTGCTTGAGGAAACTGCCAAAGAAAGATCCATGAATTTGTATCCAGAGGGTGTCCAGAAGAGAAGCTCCTCGAGCAGTGGAAGAAAAAGAGGCGGCTAAAGTCATGGAGCACCAAACTAAAACGTACTCGATTCATGGGTCACCGTCGCAGCAAAAAATCGTATACAATCGCAAGCGCTAAGTCGGCGCCACAAGTGGAAAAACTCGATCAGAACAACGACTTTGCATATAAACGTAGGAGTTTGCTCTTGATTGTGAACATCGCCCCAGCAACATGAAATCTCCTTGCTCTCCTCTCCTCTTTGCAACTCTGGCGATCTTCTTTTGTGATGCTTTGGTTGTTCTTCAAGCAAGCCAGCAGAGTGATCTTGTCGACGCGCACAACGCAGCTCGGTCGGCTGTGAATGTCTCGGGGCTGGTTTGGAGCGATACAGTGGCCGCGTTTGCATCAAGCTGGGCGGCAACTCTCCGGGATCAAAAGAACTGCGCGCTGATCCACTCGGGTGGGAGATATGGCGAGAATCTGTGGAAGTGGTGGGGAAGTCCCGGCTTGCCTGCTCCTCCCGCCACTGACGCTGTGGCTGCCTGGGTGAACGAGCGAGCCGACTACAACTATGCGTCAAACACTTGCGCGGCAGGGAAGGTCTGTGGACACTACACGCAGGTTGTGTGGAAGAACTCTGTTCGAGTCGGATGCGCTTATGTCCAGTGCAATGGTATGAATGCTTACCTTGTTAGTTGCAATTATGATCCACCAGGAAATTATATAGGCCAGAAACCATATTGACATGGTTTATTCACTGATATCTGAAAGAATTAGTAATTATTCAATTCATAACAATATTACACTCAATTTGTCAAGGTCAATAAAGACTTTCTCGTGGTAAGTCCACCAATCCGGGAGGGGGGGGGGTATATTGATCCAGTCATAATCCTCTCTGGATTGAACGAATGGGCTTTTGGACTCGAAGTGGTGTATTGGTGCTCTGGCGAGTGAATTCCCAGAGTGTACCGGCAAACAATCTCATTTCCACCTGTATTTGACTTCCATTGACTTTATTATTATTACACCTACCAGCGTCATCGGCGCAAACAGAGGTTACATTCTCAAATTCAACTGTAAATCAACAACAGTAGGTAGATAGATAGATTCAATGATTAATCATCTATATCCAAGTTTCTAAGGCTCGAGCGCAAAACCAATCCCGCGCATGTAGTCCGAGGTGAATCCATACAAGCCCACGATCTCGCTCGCGGCCGCCGTCTGGAAGCTCGTCTGGCCGCTCGTCTCATGCCCGCCGTACGGGCCGTACGTGACGCTCTTGCCGGTGATGTTGTTGTACGTGACGAACGACAGCTCCGTCACCGTGACCCCCTGGTTCTTCTCGCTGCTGTACGGCCCGTACTTGCCGGTGGCGCGCACGAACCTCTCGGACGGATAGGCGACTTGGATCTGCGTCATGGAATGGAATGATTAGGAGAAGAGAAAACTGCTCATTTTGGTTCTTTTGGGCGACTGACCTCTGTGAATTGCGTGGTTGTGCCGTGGTTAGCCATCCAGGTTGAAGAGCTGCCGGTGGCGTATTGTCCCTGGATGCCGTCGATCACCCAGCCGTAGTGTACGCGGATTGCGGTGAGAGTTTTGATCGCCGAGGAAGAACTCGTGTCGTTGAATCCCACTCCCGCGTTGGTGCCGTAGAGCGGAGACCAGGAGCGCGCTTCCACCGTGACGACGACAAGCTACGACAAAACAAAAGAATTCATCACAGAAACATCATTGGAAAAATGAGCTAATATGTATACCAGGAGAACAACAAAGGATCTCAACAATGCAGCCATTGGACAACTCTGAAACTTCTCTCCCTTGCTATAATCGATCGCTACCAAGAGAAGAAGAAACTCCTTTTATAGACAGAAGAGTTGTGCAGCCTTAGAACTTTGGCTTTTCTTGTGCAGCCTTCTTGGACAGCAACATGCAAACAAGAGCCCCATGAAGGAATGTGGTAAATAAACCGCACGAACTCTGTCGTAAGACAGCTTTCAGACAGTCATATTAATCATATTAGGATCGGATTAATGTATTATCATGACAATATGTTTCCTATCATCAGTTGTTTAAGATTCTGAGCTTCTCAATGTTTCGCGTCCCAAGGTGGTTCTTGTAGAAGTTGTCCATGTACTCTCTGAACAAGCATGCTTTGAACACGGGAGGATTGTCACCTAGCAACTCCTCCAGTGGGGCAATATGTTTATCATCTGTAGGACCATAAAATGAAGCAATTGAAACTCGTGGCCTCATAGTGTTCACTAGAACTCGATGCTCCGCACTCTTATATTTATTGTTGCTTAGTATCTGTAAGAGGGAAACTAAGAGCTCATAGAAAATGTCATAAAATTATTTCACCTGGAGCATGTCTGCTACATTAATGACTAATGCACCTTCAACTGGCTTCACAGGAATCCATTGGCCATTGTAGTTAATCTCAAGGCCCTCAACTCCAAGTTCTTGTTGTAACACCGTTATGGTTCCTGGATCAGCATGACAACCTATACCAATTACTTGATCAGGGCATGGACACTGGATAATATGTCATCTTCATGGTTTGCTTGGGAGGATCCAAGTGTTTCTCCAGGATCTGCCAATCTAGACCAAGGTTTTGAGCAATAATTCGCAATAGTTTTCTGGCAAGTTCGTCCACAGCCTTGGCGTAATTGCTTGTAATTTTCCTTTGTTATAATGAATATATAGTGTTAAAACAGAAAAAAGTAAAATAAAAAGATCTGTGAAAGGAAAGTTTGTAGCTGTAATTTGGAACACTTTCTGGTACATCATCCTCGTGAACTGCTGGCTGACAGTGCTGGAACAAATAGTCGCTCCAAAACTTTTTCTTTGCACTTGCTATGGATTCTGTGGAGAATCTAAAGCTCTTGTAGATATCTGTTGAGTAGTACCCCATCCTTTCCTTGGCAGGCAAGTTAAAGAAGTAATGGACCATTTTGAAGAGAGAGAGAGAGAGCTCACCGACACACTCGCTGAACGCGCTATCCCTAGATTCACGGGAACCAGAATATTCCACTACTTATCAGATTCGATCGATCAATGGCGCCGGGTGCATTGCCGCTATAGATTTCTAGAACCCGAGGTGAGTCGGCGCAGATCTAGAGCTCCGCGCCACAGGGATACCTTTTCCATCGACCAGGGGGTTACCCTTCGATCATGAGGGCGAGAGGCTACATCTTGCCGATCTTTGTGCTGCTCGCATGCTTTTCCTTGGCAGCGGCGGCCGCTCGTCAGTAGCGGATCATCGGTCGACAAGGCGGGATTTCCGTCCGTGTTGAGGCTCAGGAAAGCTGCCAAGGAGGAGTGGTGTGAGCCAAATTATGGCTTCTTGCCCTGCTCCACTGGCCTCCGCAAAAATCAACGGCCTGAGCAATTTACACTGGCCTCCGCAAAAACTGCTTGAAGAGCTTACTCAAATATCACGTCACAAACGCCACAAGTGCCGTGGTATCATCTAGTTTTCCACCGCTCCAATTCATTCTCGCCTTTGCAGCCGCCCTGGCAAACGGGCTGTCCAAACGCTCGGCCTGCGCCCCAGCTACACGGTCTGCTGCAGCTGCCTGGCGACAACAGCGAGAGTTCACCTTCAAGTTGACTTGGTCGGACCCAAAGAGATGTTTTAAGAACTTCGATTATGTCGTCGTTGAAGAGATTGTGAAAAAGGCCATCAGTTCCCAAAACAATGATCTTGAATTCCAAAAATTAGCGAAGTTAAGGGAAAAGCAAGAGTACCTCTGCAACCGTCGGATGGTCACCAAAAGTTCCAACTTGAAACAGAAAGTTGACGTTCTTGGGCTTTGGTTACCCAGGATGCAGATATACATTCACTGCAAGACACGCGGCTTGACACCGGAACGGTGACTTCTCCTTCAAGCGATATGTAGGGATTTACAACGAGCCGATGGGTCCAGAGTAGAAATGGATGTCTTTAGGACGCTAAGACAAAACGTCTTTGGACAACATGCTTCTTTGGCTGGCCGAGTCTCCTACTAAAACAGAGATCCAAGTTTTAATTGACCAAGCCAAGAGCTCTCTATTAGGTGGAGATACCTCTCATTGTACAGCTATGGTTCAATCATAAGAACCAGCCGCAAGAAGATTTGTCTGATGTCCGCTAAAAGCACCACAGATACGAATGCGGCGCTGGCGCCAGGCTAGATTTTGGGCACACTATCAACACACTATCAATCACACATCTATGATCTGGAGCTCCTTGCTGCTGCTCATGGACGATCCATCACAACTGGGGCACTGGATCTTCCCCTGCCCCTTGAACGCCCGGCATTTGGGCCCCGAATTCCGCTCCTTGAGGTCGGAGAACTCGGATCGCTGGAGCCACCCCATGCTCCAAAGCTTGCGATCCTGGAAAATTGAGAGAAGCTAAAAAAAAAAAAACCAAGAATTCGATCAAAGACCATCACTACCACCTTGAATACAAAATAGAATCCTTTGTGAGATTTTTTGGGATACAGTTAGTTCACGCAAACACTAAAGTGTTGGTAATGGATTCATGTGGATGATTCAAGTTGCTTGAGGAAACTGCCATCCATGAATTTGTATCCAGAGGGTGTCCAGAAGAGAAGCTCCTCGAGCAGTGGAAGGAAAAGAGGCGGCTAAAGTCATGGAGCACCAAACTAAAACGTACTCGATTCATGGGTCACCGTCGCAGCAAAAAATCGTATACAATCGCAAGCGCTAAGTCGGCGCCACAAGTGGAAAAACTCGATCAGAACAACGACCTTGCATATAAACGTAGGAGTTTGCTCTTGATTGTGAACATCGCCCCAGCAACATGAAATCTCCTTGCTCTCCTCTCCTCTTTGCAACTCTGGCGATCTTCTCTTGTGATGCTTTGGTTGTTCTTCAAGCAAGCCAGCAGAGTGATCTTGTCGACGCGCACAACGCAGCTCGGTCGGCTGTGAATGTCTCGGGGTTGGTTTGGAACGATACAGTGGCCGCGTTTGCATCAAGCTGGGCGGCAACTCTCCGGGATCAAAAGAACTGCGCGCTGATCCACTCGGGTGGGAAATATGGCGAGAATTTGTGGAAGTGGTGGGGAAGTCCCGGCTTGCCTGCTCCTCCCGCCACTGACGCTGTGGCTGCCTGGGTGAACGAGCGAGTCGACTACAACTATGCGTCAAACACTTGCGCGGCAGAGAAGGTCTGTGGACACTACACGCAGGTTGTGTGGAAGAACTCTGTTCGAGTTGGATGCGCTTATGTCCAGTGCAATGGTATGAATTCTTACCTTGTTAGTTGCAACTATGATCCACCAGGAAATTATATAGGCCAGAAACCATATTGACATGGTTTATGCACTGATATCTGAAAGAATTAGTAAATATTCAATTCATAACAATATTACACTCAACTCAAACTCAATTTGTGAAGGTCAATAAAGACTTTCTCATGGTAAGTCCATCAATCCAGGGGGGGGGAGTGTACCGGCGAACAATTTCATTTCCACCTTTATTTGACTTCCATTGACTTTTTTTTATCAAAGTGGAGTATTTATTAAGACTGATGAAACAGAGGTTACATTCTCAAATTCAACTATAAATCAACAATTGTAAGTAGATAGATAGATTCATGGCATGATGCCAAGTTTCTAGTTCTTGGTACGCTCGAGCGCGAAACCAATCCCGCGCATGTAGTCCGAGGTGAATCCATACAAGCCCACGATCTCGCTCGCGTCCGCCGTCTGGAAGCTCGTCTGGCCGCTCATCCCATGCCCGCCGTAGGGGCCGTACGTGACGCTCTTGCCGGTGATGTTGTTGTACGTGACGAACGACAGCTCCGTCACCGTGACCCCCTGGTTCTTCTCGCTTCTGTACGGCCCGTACTTGCCGGTGGCGCGCACGAACCTCTCGGACGGATAGGCGACTTGGATCTGCGTCATGGAATGGAATGATTGAAACTAGAAACGCTCATTTTGGTTCTTTTGGGCGACTGACCTCTGTGAATTGCGTGGTTGTGCCGTGGTTAGGCATCCAGGTTGAAGAGCTGCCGGTGGTGTATTGTCCCTGGATGCCGTCGATCACCCAGCCATAGCGTACGCGGATTCCGGTGAGCGTTTTGATCGCCGAGGAAGAACTCGTGTCGTTGAATCCCACACCCGCGTTGGTGCCGTAGAGCGGAGACCAGGAGCGCGCTTCCACCGCGACGACGACAAGCTACGAGAAAATAACAAAATTCATCACTGGGAATGGATCGAAGAAACATCAATGGAGTGGAGTAATGAGCTAATCTGTATACCAGGAGAACAACGAAGGATCTCAACAATGCACCCATTGCACAGCTCTGAAACTCTCTCCCTTGCTATAATCGACTGCTACCAAGAGAAGAAGAAACTCCTTGTGTAGACGGGAAATGTTGTGCAGCCTTTGCTTTGTATTTGATCATGCAGCCTTCTTGGACAGAAACATGCAAACAAGAGTCCCGTGAAGGAATATGATATATGAACTGCACGAACTCTGTTGTAAGACAGCTTTCAGATGGAATGCCACAGTCATGTCAGCCTTAGTAGTATTAATCATAATAGGATCGGATTAATGTATTATCATGACAATATATTTCCTATCATCAGTTGTTTAGGATTCTGAGCTTCTCAATGTTTCGCGTCCCAAGGTGGTTCTTGTAGAAGTTGTCCATGTACTCTCTGAACAAGCATGCTTTGAACATGGGAGGATTGTCACCTAGCAACTCCTCCAGTGGGGCAATATGTTTATCACCTGTAGGACCATAAAATGAAGCAATTGAAACTCGTGGCCTCTTAGTGTTCACTAGAACTCGCACTCTTATATTTATTGTTGCTTAGTATCTGTAAGAGGGAAACTAAGAGCTCATAGAAAATGTCATCAAATTATTTCACCTGGAGCATGTCTGCTACATTAATGACTAATGCGCCTTCAACTGGCTTCACAGGAATCCATTGGCCATTGTAGTTAACCTCAAGGCCCTCAACTCCAAGTTCTTGTTGTAATACCGTTATGGTTCCTGGATCAGCATGGCAACCTATGCCAATTGCTTGATCAGGGCATGGTCACTGTGGATAATATGTCATCTTCATGGTTTGCTTGGGAGGATCCAAGTGTTTCTCCAGGATCTGCCAACCTAGACCAAGGTTTTGAGCAATAATTCGCAGCAGTTTTCTGGCAAGTTCGTCCACAGCCTTGGCGTAATTGCTTGTAATTTTCCTTTGTTATAGTTAATATATAGTGTTAAAACAGAGAGAAAAAAAAAATCTGTTAAAGGAAAGTTTGTACCTGTAATTTGGAATACTTTCTGGTAGATCATCCTCGTGAACTGCTGGCTGACAGTGCTGGAACAAATAGTCGCTCCAAAACTTTTTACTTGCACTTGCTATGGATCCTGTGGAGAATCTAAAGCTCTTGTAGATATCTGTTGAGTAGTAAACCATCCTTTCCTTGGCAGGCAAGTTAAAGAAGTAATGGACCATTTTGATGATGTCTTGCATAAGCTCGTTAGATATCCCATGGCCGATGACCTGACTAGAACAATTTGCAAAGTATTTCAGAAGAGATTGTTTACCTGGAAAAAACCCCATTTCTGGCATGCTAGATGAATTTCTTCAGCTGCTGATTTTCTTTTCAAATCATCACTATCTATGCCACTTAAGTCAATAATTGGGAGGTTGTTTGGAGCTTTGATGGTTATGCCTTTGCATATGGATGTCAAATATTCATTTGGTACATGATCTATACCCAAATCCACCATTGCTCTCACACCAGCCATAATATTTTTCAAATAATCTGTTTCAGAAAACACAGAACATTGTTATATTCACCTATTCTTGGGGTACTTACAAAATGTATGGCGAGATTACCAATAAAATGTAAAAGTTATAGATTTACAATTTATTTAAACTAAAGGGCCTAAATGACGGATAAATAAAAAATCTACAACCTTATCAAGTTGGCAAAAAGCTCATATGAAGCAGAATGTTCTTTATCTAGTCCGATTATTTCCCTAGCAACCGAAGCTCCATGTTGAGCATCATTGTTACTTCGGCTTGCTCCAAACAAGCACCTCCACTGAATCGAATCTGGTACATATGGCATGTTAGCCACAAGGTCTTGCGCATTTTCCAAATGCCCGGCTTGCCCAAAGAATCGTGCAGCAATAGTGCTGCTTGCTCGGTTGAAACCCAAAACCAAGACTCATCGAGACGAAGAGCGATTTTGCAGTGGAAACCTTCCCTCCCTGGCTGCAAGCAAGATCGATACAAAACACACCTTGTCAATTGATCCCGCCATCTTGATCTCGTCAAAAACAACAAAAGCTTCCAAGTAGAGCCCGTTTTGAACAAGAGCGGCAAGCATAGCGCTCCAGCAGATGGTGTCCCGTTCGGGAAGCGACTCAAACAGCCTTTCGGAATGCCTGACGTGACCATTGTGAGCATACGCTGCAAGCATCGCAGTCCACGAAACCACGTCGCGTTCCAGCATGTCGTCGAAAAAAACCTTGGACTCTCGCAGCTGCTTGTGCTGCGCATACGACGCAAGCATGGCTGTCGAAGACGTGGAGTTGTGCTGAGGCATCAGTCCAAAAGTTTGCTTGGCTTCGTCCAAGAGACCGTTCTGGGCATATGCCAAAAGCAACGTGCTCCAAGAAACGATGTCTTACTCGGGCATTTCCTCAAAGATCTGACTTTCTCTGCTTATCCGGACCTCGGCAGCGGTCGCCAAGAGGATTGCATTCCAACACAGAAGATTGTGCCGAGGCATCTCCTGTAACAATCGCGTCGCAAGTTCAAGATGCCCGCATTGGGCATAATCTGCAACCATGGCGGTCTGTGATACCGAATCCCTCTGCGGCATGTGGTCAAACTGTCGCTACATTGACGATGTAACAACAACACTACTTAGGGGGAGGGAGGGGGGCATCCATCTTTTTGCTTACACCAGGTCTCTTACTATTAGTGTTCTTCTTCGTTTTTTTTCTTCCCTTAACATATTTTGAGGACAATGTATATGAGGAGGCCCCTTCGATGCCAATGAAAAGCTTCTAAAAAATGTACTTACAAAGCATGTGTGTATGTGAGGTACATAGTTGGACAAAAAGGGGTGTAGTGTATATTATATTGGCTTTCGTCGTCCTTGTAATCCTCTTTTAAGTGTCTTGAGATGACAAACACGTAACTAGAAAAAATTGTGTGTCTTCTAAGCTGGGCTTGTTTCCAAGTGACACGATTAAGAGGCACACTCGCTGATAGATGGCCTAGATTCATGGGAACCAAAATATTCCACTACTTATCAGATATTTGCCCGCAGAGGAGATCGATTGATGGCGCCAGGTGCATTGCCGCTACGCTGCTAGATTTCTAGAATCCAAGGTGAGTCGGTGCAGATCTAGCATTGTTGGTCTCGACCACGTTCAGCTGGAATCCCAATCCGTTCGGTGATTCCAATGGCAATTGCACTCGTGGGGCTAGATTTCTAATGCTGCTGCGGCTATTGCCATCGCCACTACATCTCCACTGCTTTGCTGGTTCTCCTACTGCTATGGAGCGATCCATCCATCCACAAATGCCCAGCCCAGCAAGCCTTCATCGAATCCGACCAAGAGGGTGTAAGCCTCAAATGTTTCCTTTCCAATTTGCCAATTTACTGTAAGCGACTAAATTTTTCCTCTCTACTTTAGCCACTTAACCACACCTCTGACCACTTGGAGGAGTCTTATTCACAACCTCCATAAGTCCCACTCAGGACTTGGGGCTTGCTAGCCTCGAGAATGGCATCCATGCCATTCAACATTTGCAGTTGGTCCCAGTGCTCCACATGTCCGGTCCCATGATCGACACCCGAAAGTACCACCGACACATCAGCTCATTACGCTAAGGCCATGCCCATTCACCTTGGTCCCATCGGTGGTCTGACACCACCTACACCACAGTCCCGTCTCTCAAAGACTAGGCCATCCGTCCATGAGTGATCATTCAAGATCCACTCCTTAGCATCCTTAGGATGCCCACAGACAAAGGGAATAGCCTTCCCCAATATCCCTTTTCCAGTCTTCATTAAGTCCCTTTCTACCCATGGCCGTGTTCGCCAACACTGCCACTGGATCGAGGCCCACAGGCCTGACCACTAAGTCCCACGGTCCTCTGGGACTTCCTCACCACTCGACTGTATCCTTGGTCACTACACCAGAGGACTACTCCTCTTCCTCTCCACAGTCTGGGCCTTTGGGACAACATTCCGGAACACCGTGGCCCTATGCGGGCCTCATGGGTACTCTCCCCGCCTTCCGCCTTTGGGTGCTCTAGCCATGGGCTTAGAGCAAGGTTCCATTGAGCCACGCCTGGTATCCAAGTAGGTAGTGCCACCCACACTTGGACTGGGAGTATCGGCCAGTCAATCTCCCAGGGGAACTAGAGCCGGCTCTTGAACACTTCACTAAGCTACCTTGCTTGTTGGTCTGTATTCACTCTAGTCTTGGACTTCCCAGTGGTTAGTTCATCACCTAACACTAGGTATGGCCTTCCTGGGCCAAACTGGCCTTTCCTGGCTAAACTGGCTCCACTAGGACTCCAACCCCCACACTCTCCCTACTAACACTTTTGGAACCCCCTGCAGCCCCCCCCCCCCCCCCAAAAAAAA